AAAGTTTAATTAACATAACATCAACAGACAAAACAGTATAACTGGAACAAGCTTTACTACAAARTAACTCATTATTTTCGATAAATATGTTGATGCTAAAAGTTCATCAAAAATATTTTACATTCTATATTTCCTAAATATTACTTAACTTTGTTTATGATTTAATATACGTAACAAAAAGGAATTACTATAAGACGGTTGACGTTCCTCCATTATCCGCAGTTGTGTGCAACTCATAAAATTAAAAACGTGTTTAAGTTCYATTAATGATTACTATCCTACACCACCATAACCTTGATTGACAGGAGCCAATCAATTATGACAATGGATKTCAATAGTGATACGCGACTGCTACGGGAACTCCAGTGCCCCTAAACACTATGTATATAAGCTCAAAAGTTGCCTCCTCCGCGATCCGCAGGCTACTCCATATATACCCCATATATTCTCTGTTGGGACCCCTGTGTTAAATCTCATGGCAGAGAAGAACTAGGAACCAGGAACAGGAAGCCCAAGGAGCAAAAGGAGAGCAAAAAGAGCCAATTAGATGTCTGTGGAGGAGACTAGCTCAAAAGATATAACTGGAGTATTAATGAATAMCATGTACCAGCTTGTATTTAGTGAGGGGAGGATGTGAGAGCGGAAGGATTCTAACAGTCGATATTACATGGGTATACAAGTATACTTTCCTTGTACTATCTTTAACATTACTAAACATCAACATACATATTAATTATTAATAACGTACAAAAATGAAATTTATAACCAAATACTTTGTGTATTATACAAATGAGGAAGGGGGAAATGACTTTGAATGATCAGTAATAATTCAGAGTAATGTTTTGTAGTAGGATACTTTAAAACTCTTTAAGCGACTCAAAAATCAAATTATGAGGTCCAGCATACTATTTGGTTTCTTAAATACATGATCATAAATGTTCACTCTGCCCTTATAGTCTTGTTTTCATRTGGTACAATAAGCATGTTTTGTGTCGAGGCCATTCAACAAACTAGTGTTCCTAGATTTAGCCCTCTTAGTCTYGTTATGAAGATCTTCAGCAAGAGCTCTTCTCAGTCTCCTTCATTTGTAGCAATTCCCCTCATAGCCTCATTCTGATGTCAATAAAGGCCGGTTTTCATAATAGCAYCCTATTATTAATATCTATAATTATTACTATAATAATAACCTTGATTAATCTGCCATGATCGTGTATAATGATTGTAATAAAATAARGGCTGTGCATTGTTCATGTAGGGCCCAGCTCTTCCTCGAGAAAGAAGAGTATTGAACCATTGCTGTTGTTGTTGAATGTCTTGTAGRCTTTGTTGACTCTCTGTCCAATAGCAGTTGCTCTGGACAAAATTGTAAGATGGAACGCATTGGCGTTGTGGAGGGGCATTGGTTTCAATTCGATTTCCTGAATACACAGGAATAGACGCGTGACATGTTGAAGAGCTTGTAGAGTGTTGTCCAGATAAAGGTAATGCATTCCTCATGGGGTACTGGCGAGATGTGGTACTACTGTCACGCTCATTCTTACCTCTCTTGACTGGAGGAGGCTTTAGATCATGATGTGGTAGGTTTTTGTTCTCATTAGCTGCGGCCTCAGTTGGTGCTTTTCTCTTGAGGTTACCAGAAGGTTTTCTGGAGTCATCTGCTTTCTTCTTGACCTCACTGACCTTATGCTGTTTRGTTATTCTGCTGGAAGCCTCATCCCCTGTAGTCTTGCGCTTTTGACCTCCAGACGATACTTCAGAAAGCTTTGTTGAAGAAGCCCTCCCTGAAAATGACTTCTTAGCTTCACTATGRCTTTTACCAGAAGTATTTGAGAGAGCACTCTCTGCAAGCTTCTGTTTCTTGGGTTGTACATCCATTGAAGCTTTGTGCTCCAGGTCTTTTACAGGAGCCTTTCTTTTTGTAGAAGGAACAGGATGTTTTGTTTTGTTTTGCACTTTACTGGATTCAAAAACATCATTGATTTTGCTTGGTTTATTCYGATCCACAGTGCTACCACCAACACGTAGTTGTTCCTTGGTCTGAACAACACTGTCTACTGAAGATTTTACCACATGAAGTTCTTTTTGAATCTGTGTGTTCAAGGTACTTGCCTCTTGATTGATTATTACAGGAATATTTGAGGTCCTTTGGGGTGCATGTACTGTAGTTATCCTACTGCATGCTTGTTTCTTATTTGGTAAGTCATATTTACGCAACTGTGACACATTAGCTAACAAGGGAATACTATTACCAGTAGTGCAAAGAGCATTCTCCTTCCCCAAGCACTGAGTTGTCTTGGTAACAGATGACATCACAGGYGTACTTAATGATGGCRCGTGGCCAGCCAGAGATGCCGGAGGTATATATACAGAAGCACAAATAGCATTGTGTTGATTTATGGAAGCTGTTGTCTTGGCAACTTGAGATGATGCTACTTGATTGACAGGTATGGTTAACTGTGACCGGTGACTAGTTGGTAGGGCAACCTTATTTGAAGGAGCASCAACATTACTTTKCTTATCATAGTAAGACGTCRTCTTGGTAACAGGGGATGGGTTCATCATGGTAACCTGGGATGTCACAGGAAGGACAGGTAAGTTCATTTGTGACACATGAYTGTGTGATGATAAGGCAGGATTAATGGATGAAGTACATGTGGTTGGCTGTATCTCTACCACGCTGTCCTTCTCTTTACKTGCAATGCAAGTAGACRATACCTGAATCACCAGAGAACTGGACTGTGATGCTGTACTKGTCRAGCCTTTGCCAGTCAAGGTGTTTTCTCCACCTTCATTAGTCTGYGTCCCATTTGTATCACTAAAATAAGAAGTTGAGTTCTTGCTAGCACCAGAACAAGCATTAAAGTCTTGTTCCAGATTCTGGGATAATCCTAGCTTTTGGTCAATATATTGCTCTGTCAATGGACTATCAAGGGTTGTAGTGCTTTCATTCTGCTGTAACAAGCTCTTAGTCATAGAGACTGTTTCCATTGGTGAGCTAGCATAGATTGGTTTAGCGAATGGTTCACTTTCTTTGTTAACATCAGAGGTGAGACCAGGAATAACAGGACTTGGCATTTGATTGTCTTTACTCACTGTTGTACTAYTTATGATAATTGGACTGCCCATTAACCTAAATCTATCCTTATAAGTATTAGGCTTCTGTACTACATATCTAGCATCACCTGAAGAGTTAAACCCATACCTATCTATGTGTAACTCAGAAGTATACGATCCAAAAGAAGCATTACGTGGCCTCTCAGCTAATGGTTGTAAACGTGGCTCTCTGGGTATGTCRAGTGGCATTGTCTTGGGGACTGGTAAATTCCAKGCACGGCACAGATGTAAAAGAATAAGATTGGATATCCTTCGGTGTGCAAAATGATTCCAGTGAATTCCATCTTTGGCTMGATGGTAAAGTTGATGAACAAATAAGGAATGTAAATCGAGAAATATGAAGCCATAAGACCKGACAATGTCWGCGGCAATAAAGTTGGCTTCRATRATTTCCTGTGCAGGAATATTCTCATAATATGGCAACAGAAAACCACCTTTACATTTGGAATCTAAAGGAAGAGTAGCATTCCAGATAAAAACTGCATCACTAGGAATGACTTTTTTCAAACCTACCATCAGTTTCTTCATGTTAACATGATAAGAATCTGGACCACGAGGACCATATCGGTGAAGGTCCCAGAGGCAAGAGTTCATGATAACAGCATGGGGTTGCATAGTTTTGAGTTCATTGAGGACTGATTCCAAATGGTCTGAGTAACATCGGGTTGCAAAGTAAAATTTAACWACAGATGTTCCATTGTCATATTGTCGTACCTCACGGTAATTGATCCCTGTCTTGACTTCACCAAGCTGACCACCTTGCAATAGTTTATCATTCAAGAAGTCAATTTCACCCTAAACAAAAAGAGTAATTTGTTGGCCATGTCATACACCAGGACAATTATCAACACAATTTCCCACTCACACACAAAATGTATGATATGTATAATATACATGCATTAGTTTTGATAGGGGGAGTGAAAGCTCCAAGCCCTCTTCCCACCCCCACCCAAGTAAATCTACCCCTCCAATTTTTGCTAGGTTCTATCTAGATGGGATACTCGCAGTCCAGGTGATTGAGAGACTAGGATTAACGAAGTACACCATAGGTTTCCGAACACACGAGTGGGACTTTATAGAAATTTTGGTTCTCTTCACTTAGAAAAAAAAATAGGTGAAGACACCAAGAATCGAAACCCTAACCCTAACCACTAGACCACGAAGCAAATTTGCTGGGTGGTCTCATTTTTTAGACATATTAAAACACATGAATATTTATTAAAGCTTAATTTATGCTATCATAGGGTACGACTACTAGCTGACTAAATAAAATTCCCTTGACAATTATACTCTCCCTAGTCTCTCTCAATCACCTGGACTGCGAGTATCCCATCTAGCCATAACCGTTTTGCTATYCATCCTGTGATAATAACCCTACCTGGGATAATAACAGAATATTTTTGGCTTAATTAATAGGTAGAGTGATGTGGATTTAGAATTAATATAAAACAAAGCATATTTTACAAGATGAATGTTACCTGGAAGCTTAAATCAAATTGTTAGTTCATGAAGGCATTACCTTCTAAAATATTTGACAAGCTAGGTAAATGTATTCCTTGTATAAAAACTTAAATAAGTCAGTCTTCTTTCGTTCAAAATTTAGCAAAAACCAGTTTAATATTAAGTTAMACCTAGCTATTCTTCTTTGTCATTTGTTATATAAAGACTTTTAAAAGATAAGACATACCTTGGCTTTGAGCTCCTTTGAAGTTAGGTATCTMGTATTACTTCCAGGAGAAAGAAGGCAAACCAGGTCTTTGTAAACACATCGCTGAACTACGGTAGACAAGCAATATATAYTTTTATGAACTCTTTTGTTCTTTCCTTTAAACAATAGACTAAAATAACGTGGTGAAATGTTGAACTTCAACCTCGAGAGTTAATACTCACTGGAATCTCCTATAACGACGACTAGCTTTTTCCAGAAAATYTTCGACACGTCTTCGCTGGTAAATACTTCCATTTTACAAATACGAGGAGGGAGACTTAAAACAGCATTTAGAGGGTTCGTGATATATGTTTTATAGCCCGTAAACGGTTTTGAATGAAAAACTTGTCTTCATGGAAGCCCTCCATCTCCTCGCATGTGGAACTGTCAAAGAGTTCGACTCAACATATCAACCAATCATRACATGTCACCAATCATGTTTCTCGTTATATTTTGTATTGTGCGCTCTTATTGGATCACACAGGTGTCATAAAACGCGCGAAAATATCGCGGCATTATTTTACGCGGGCTTGCTACACGTACTTCTAAAATGAATTCTAATAATAGAATCAAAATATTCTATTTTTGGAGAAAAACTTCAAGCAATTCTAGGCACAGAATAAGTACAATTCCCGACTGTCGGTCAGTTTGAGACGCGTGAAAATAAACGCATATTTGATAACAAACATCAGGTTTGTTTTCTCTATTGATTTATTGGTTTGATATTACCGTAACATTTCTTTTATTTTAAATACTTTTACACCCCCTAATTTTAAAGCCGGGTTGGCTCTTTTCTTGCTCTCGCGGAATAGTTTACACTCCGCCGGGTAGCCCTTCCCTCCCTGATCAGTGTTCAAACGAGGTATCACGTAGTCTCTTATGCAGCCGCTATTAGTGTCGTCACGCAACGCTTACGCACCTAAGTAGGGGAGTGAGCGTCTCGTGACGACACTAATAGCGGCTGCGCTGGTGAAATAGCAGCACCCAATCACAGCGCTTCAATATTTAAGGAAAGCCATTAAAATCATTCGAGCCAAACAGTGCGATAGTCTAAACAGGCCATTATTTTGACTACGCTTACCTTTGCTCCATCTACGCGCACATGATATTTCTGTCAAATTGCGGCGTTGTTCTCATATCCGCTTTTAGAGGTCATTGGTGAGATTTTGGCTTTTCATTTATCAGGCAACAATATATATAACGCTGATAATGACGAAAATGCAAAGCACCGAGACTCTAAAGAAAATAAGACGTTGATTTGTTCTGTGTGCCACTTTTATGGAAAGTTCAGTCTATACCCAGTTAATTATCTGTATAGCTATTGAGAAGAGTTCTATCTAACAAATACTGTATGAAGACTCCTAAATTCTTCAGGTTCTAGAGTAATGGAGTATTGATTTGGTTTGGTATGAGCCGTGACAGGAATTGTGATTCGACCAAGAGAAGGTGGTTCAGTCTTCTCATGTAGGACCTGAAATGTGAAGACATTCTTCCTTAGTAACAAGAGAAATTCGAAGACAATGAAGGAGAAACAAAATCAAGTAAACGAAAGAAGAATTGTGAAGAAATGGGAGGAAAGAAAAAAGGTTTTCAATATTTCAATACCTTGGAGAAAGTAGGCGAGAGGAATGAGGAAAATGAGCCTGACGACTGACCACCTTTGAATTCTGCCGCCATTAATCTTTGGACTTTAGCTTGAACCTGCGTAATAAAAAATAACATAATGGGAATCATGTTAGAGAATCCTTGAAAATAATGAAATGCATCCAACAGTGCCCGCGAAACTAGCTTAGTAGTGGTCACTGAGAAAATCGTGAGAAAGTCGAAAACTTCCTTATATGTTTCTGGTGGGGCTATATGAAACATTTTCGAAGAGCAATGAGGACACCAATTTTTAAATATCCTTCAAAATTTTAATATCTGTGGACAAAAAGGTTGAGGGGGTATATGTTGGGAGTGTAGTCCTACAAGTTACTCTTCCCTTCGCGGGCCCTGTCCAAGCGTTTGCGATAGAAAAATCCAAAACATACCTCTTCTTTCTGAAGCTTTAATTGCATCAAAGTTGCAGTGTTCTCTATTAAATGATTGGATGGTGACATCTTTGCCAAGGTAGGTACCGTACCTGGTTAGAAGCGATAGAGTTAGCTTGGCAACCGATGCTGGTTTATTTATAGTTTATCATCGTTATACGAAGCATGTGGGAGGGGAATACGAACCTGGTTTTCTGTTTGAGACATCGACAACCTTTGGTGTTGCACTCAACACTTGCAGTTTCTGATAAGATGAAAATAAKAAAATAATAAAAATACTGTTATTCTATTCTGCAAAGAACTACCTTTAGAAAAGCAACAAATCAAGGAAGCGGGGTAAACTGCATAAAAAGCCTCCTCCTCCTCCTTTGGAGACCCCCTTCACAATGGAGACCCCCCCCCAAACACATCCCCAAAAAAACTAGCCTTCTCTAGGAAAAGGTAAAGAAAGCGACAATGAATCAAAAACTTGATGACAAGTCTGAATAAAGAAGAAGATAAAAACCTCAAGTAAGGCTGCAGTTTCTCGTGCAACAGAAGCTAAACTCGGTACTTCCTCTTCATGTCTTTGGGGTTCCTGTGTCTCCTGGACCTCAGGTCGAGGTTGTATTTTTGGTGGTACAAAGATTTGTGGGAGTTCCTCTAACTTTTCCTGCGTGGATGGAAAATCACATGAATGAGAAACAAAAGAAATYTCAGTGATGCGACTAAATAAGCTATGGTTTCAATACCTTGAATTGTCGGCTCTTCAAGCGGATGTTCGTGTTTTTAAGGTGCTTTAAGGCAATCTTGAGAGACTCGACCTGGAAGTAAGACAATATAATAAATTATTCATAGGAAGATTGGTAAAAGTCATGCAAAAAACATTACATTGTTCCTGACTTATATCAAGGTTGCCGTGAAACCCTCTATTTTGATTGGAATCAAGGGTCACGTGTCAGTCAGCAGATGGGCATACCTGAGCCAAGACGATAGGCGAGTCTTTGATGACAACTTGTACTGGCTGTTGACCAGTTCCTKGTAACCCCCTCAGCGGGCTTCCTGGACCACCTTTACCACCTGTAGTGAGTTGCAAAAATTGTGTGAGTTTCTATGGATACAGGCTTTCTATTAGTCAGAGACCAAGGTACATTCTGGTCTAGCTTGGGTACATCCACCTTTTTGGATAAGTGAGAGAGAGAGAGAGAGAGAGAGAAGGAAAGAAAAAAACAACACATGGTACCGTTTTTTTACCTGCAACGACAGCTGCGATGCTAGAAGAAGATGAAGCATGCCGAGCAAGGTCAGCTAGAAGRGTCTTTTTGGAATAGGCATCCAAGCGCTTCTTCATTTCAGCTTTTTCTTTCTCCAAAGCATCGATATCTCCTTGCAGYTCGTCCATGGTATCCTCGAACTCTCTTTAGCAGACAAAAAAACAGAAGGTGAGGATTACGGAATAGAATCAGTTTGTAAGA